TACTGAGGTAGAGTACTCTTTAAAATTAAAGTCCACATGTCTCTAATTTTCTAAAAATCTAGTACCTTCCTGCCGTGCTTGCCTATAGCCTCCCTTTCTCACTTGACCTTAGTCCCCATTTTTCAAGGTCCCCTAGCTTAGTAAGGCTAAAGCTCTCCTACATAGTCTTCACCATTGTCCCATGATCAGTGGGTTTGGAAGGCTGAAGTACTTTTGGGGAAGTACTTTCTTTTTTTTTTTTTTTTTTATGTATGAAATTTATTGTCAAATTGGTTTCCATACAACACCCAGTGCTCATCCCAAAAGGTGCCCTCCTCAATACCCATCACCCACCCTCTCTTCCCTCCCACCCCCCATCAACCCTTAGTTCGTTCTCAGTTCTCAACAGTCTCTTATGCTTTGGCTCTCTCCCACTCTAACCTCTTTTTTTTTTCCTTCCCCTCCCCCATGGGTTCCTGTTAAGTTTCTCAGGATCCACATAAGAGTGAAACCATATGGTATCTGTCTTTCTCTGTATGGCTTATTTCACTTAGCATCACACTCTCCAGTTCCATCCACGTTGCTACAAAAGGCCATATTTCATTTTTTCTCATTGCCACGTAGTATTCCATAGTGTATATAAACCACAATTTCTTTATCCATTCATCAGTTGATGGACATTTAGGCTCTTTCCATAATTTGGCTATTGTTGAGAGTGCTGCTATGAACATTGGGGTACAAGTGCCCCTATGCATCAGTACTCCTGTGTCCCTTGGATAAATTCCTAGCAGTGCTATTGCTGGGTCATAGGGTAGGTCTATTTTTAATTTTCTGAGGAACCTCCACACTGCTTTCCAGAGTGGCTGCACCAATTTGCATTCCCACCAACAGTGCAAGAGGGTTTGGGGAAGTACTTTCAATAAATTGAAAGTACTGGGGAAGAATTTTCAATAAATCATCACTTGAACCTATTTATGAACATTTTTATTTATTTTATAAAACTATTTTACTTTTTCATTTAAATGAATACTCACTGTTAGCAACATGACCCATAAAGATGGACTGTTTTCATCATCAGAAGAAATGCCTGACTAATAACTTCCTCTTTCTTTTACAGCCTTTTTCCCCCTTCATCAATACAACATTTCCTTTTCTTCCATTTTGCCAGCCTCTCAGTTTCAGCTTACTCCTTCTACATGATGTTATTGAAGCAGAGTCTGAAAGCAGTTCTTATGGTTGTGAGTTTTTGGTTTTGGGGAGGAGCTAGGATGAGTGACTTTTACTCTGGAAGACACTGGTTTCTTCATTCACATCTTCATCTAAGGAAAGAGAATTGACAGTGGTCATAGATGATAGCTAATGTTTTAAAAATGCCTCTTGTATGAAGGTAACTGCATATCTCTTGAGTCGTTTCATCTTTTACTATTTCAGGATCTATGTGATAGCATCCCCAATTCCTCAAGATATCTATTGGCAAGATATCTATTCTTCATGTGATTACTGAGAGCTTGGCTAGATACATGGATGCACACTGCATTGTTGGTAAGAAGTTCTGCACAGATTCTTAATTTTCCCCAAAGCATTTTTTTCCCTTGAGGAGAGTTCACAGTTCATTCACCTGTAGGGAGAGTGTCTGTACTTCTAGGTATCTCCCATAGTCATCCTCTAGATACTATATCCCTACAGATTAAGCACAGAATGGGAATTCGCTAGATGTTGTTAAAAGAGGAGCAGGCTTTTTTAGAATCCACATATAAGTAAGCTCATGCAGTATTTCTTTGTCTGGCTTATTTCACTTAGCATAACATCCTCCAAGTTCATTCATGTTGTTGTAAATGTTAGATCTCTTTTTTTTTTAAAGACAGAATTATATATATTATTATATCGTAATTTCTTTAGCCATGTGAGAGGAGAATGGTTGTTACCAGGGACAGAGAGGTGGGGGAAAATAGAGAGATGTTGCTCAAAAACAAATTTGCAGTTATGCAGAATTAATGAATAAGTCTAGAGATCTCATGTACAGAATGATGACTATCATTAATAATTCTGTCCTGAATACTGAAAATTTGCTGAGAGAGTAATTTTTAGGTGTTCTTGTCACTGAAAAAAAAAGGTAACCGTGTGAAGAGATTACATTAATTAACTTGATAATAGGACTCATTTCACTTTGAATATGTACATCAGATTGCCATGTTGTACACCTTAAATATATACAATTTTTATTAAAAGAGAACAAAAAGAAGAGAGGGCTTGTATCAAGAAACTTAGGAGGCATAGGTGTAGGCAGGATGAATTAAAATCCACTTGACCAAGCAACATAGCTGCTCTAAGAGTAAGCAGTGGCTTGGAATAGTTATTTCCTAAATGGCAGCCTAGGAAGGAAATGCCCTACCTCAGTTTCCATAGGTGGCTTCGCTCCCTGCAGAATTTCCACAGACATGATTCCTTGCACCCGGCACTATTGGCACAATCCCAAGCTTTTCTTAGGGGGTGGACAGAGCATCCCTAAATAGTTATGGCAGATTCACTCAAATTTTATTAAAAACCTCAATGTGCTGGATGAACCTCATTTTTGACACAGAAGATTTAAAGATACATTTTTTAATAGTTTGCCATTATGGTGCTCAAATTCTGACTGACTTTGGTAGTGGGACAATGACAATATACAATTCAACATTAAATCCTGCCAATTGGATCTCCTAAGTATTTTCTAAAGAAAACACTTTGTTTCTCTTAATAGCTGTTGCTGTATCTGTAGTTTAACCCACACCTAATCCTACTTCAATTTATTTGCAAAGAGGCAAGGGTGATATTTCTAAATCACAAATCTTGTTAAGTTATTCTTTAGATTTTATTCTAAAATATACTGGAAGCTATTAAAATATAATTTTCTTCTTATAAGACACAATACTTGGTCCTTTGGCTATCTCCATTCTGTTTTTGTGCTTTAGTAAGTTGCAGATCTTCTATAGCTCCTAGAAACCCTTCCCTATCACAAGGCCTTTGCATTTGCTCTTCCCTATTCCTAGAGTGCTTTTTCTCTTGCTTTCAATTAGTTGAAATGTCACTAGTTCAAAGATGCTCTTCTAAAAAAGCCATCACCATCACCACCATGTGCCACTACCATTTATTTTCTATCATAATCCCCTTTTTACTTCACTCTTGTCTCTTATCAATAGTGGTAATTATTTGCTTTGATTATTTATCATTCATTTATTTACTTATTGCTTGTTTACTAATTAGTTTTATGTCAATCTTCTAAAATGGAAGTTTAAGTGAGTCAGAAACCAAGTCTTCTTGTTCATTGTTGTATTCTCAGCAGTTAAGACATAGTAGATATCCTCTAAATAGTTGTTGAATAAACAAATGGGTTATTTATAGAAGTGACACAGAAGATATATGTTTTGGGATACAGCTTTCAATATCATGTGTAATGTTTTATGGAGGCTATCAGGCACCCTGTCTAGGTAAATATAGTAAAACCATTGCTTTCTGGATTCCTAGGAAATATGTCAATCTGGATAACCATGCTTTTAAGAAAGTTGAGGATTGAAAATTGGCAGCATTATCTTTCTTTTGATTAAAAATTTTCCAAACAATTTTAAATTTCACTGTCTTACTAAACGTGATTAATTAACTCACTAAGGCTCACCTTGGGCTATTCATGAGTGGGTATATTTATCCTTTTGCTAAAAAGTCCCACAATGCTGAACTTGCTCAGTGTTTTTGTTTTCTTCCTTTTGTGTCAGATTGCTGGCAAATACTGGTATTTTCTCAGTGTGTTGACTTATAGTGAACCATCCTTCTTTAGCATTATTTTCTTGCTTTTATAGCATGTTAGTTCTGAAAGTCATATGTCTATGGTCATTAAAATTATGCACAAATTGAGTGGGTAGCTTTGAAGGAAGAAACACTGGATTACTTCAGTCAATAGTATACATAATCTTTATTGCCTGGATGCTGTTTCATCCACTTGGTTTTATAGAATCTTAACTTTGTTTTTCTATGCTTACCTCCTGAGGAGAGGCAATATTATAAAACAGCACATCAGTAGAACAGAAGCAACTCTTTCATATTGGTTGTTGGCTATAAGAAATACTTACTTTGATGGGCAGTGTTTATATTACCTAAAAGAGGAAGCATATTTGGTAAAGTGAATGATTATATTATTTTTATTCAATGGGTTTTGTTTTATCTAATAGTAGTAGGTTCAAGACTAGGCCTTGAGCAAAATTTTAACAATAATCTTATTCCCACTGTCATCTTGAAATGGCAGAATGGGTCAGTTTGGATAGTAAGCAAACCCATTTCTTAGATCTCTATATCTTTTTCCTACCTTCCTGGGGCAGTGGATAAAATGCACGGTCAGTACAGTAATGAGATCTGATCGCAGCCCAAAGAATTATCATCTATGGCCCTGCATTGTTGTATATTGTGGCTACTTACCTATTACCAAGGATTAAGCTGTGTAGGCTTTGGTTAAAGAAGAAATGTCCATTCATTACACATGAAGCCCTGGGATCTTTTTGAAAGATTAAAAAGAAAATACTGCCAGATCAGTGTACCCGATATTAGACAAGCAAGTTTCCAAGTTGGCTATATTTCTCAACAACAACAAAAAATCTAGAAATAACAGCTGTTTTTCTTATTACCAGTCTACAATTTGGCTTATCTTATAAGTAGCTGCATATATTTCTTACTAAGGTAGATGCATGGGGAAAGAGTGCACTGCCGAGTTTCACAAAAAATAGAAATTAATAACATTAATAGATTGCGATTTTGGTTTCTGATATGTGACACACTTCATATGATTTCAGTGTTTCTAATTTTCAGGTCATCACTTACTTTCCCCCTATTTTGGCTTATCAGACATCAAATGGGACAATCAGATGTATCTTAATACAGTCTCTTAATGACAGAGGCCAATCTGATGATTTCAAAAGCAGTAAAATAATGCTATTTGGAGTAATTGCAATTTCTTTATTTTTTTTATAGCCACATTATTTTTAAAAAGTGAAGAAATGGAACCTGCAAATTACACCAGAGTAACAGAGTTTGTTCTCACTGGCCTATCCCAGACTCGAGAGGTACAACTAGTCCTATTTGTTATATTTCTATCCTTCTATTTGTTCATCCTTCCAGGAAATATTCTTATTATTTGCACAATCAGGCTTGACCCTCATTTGACCTCACCCATGTATTTCCTGTTGGCTAATCTGGCCTTCCTTGACATTTGGTACTCCTCCATCACAGCCCCTAAAATGCTCATAGACTTCTTTGTGGAAAGGAAGAGAATTTCCTTTGGTGGGTGCATTGCACAGCTCTTTTTCTTGCACTTTGTTGGAGCCTCAGAGATGTTCCTGCTCACAGTAATGGCGTTTGACCGCTATGCTGCTATCTGCCGTCCTCTCCACTATGCTACTATCATGAATCGACGTCTCTGCAGTATCCTGGTGGTTCTCTCCTGGTTGGGGGGCTTTATTCATTCTATAATACAAGTGGCTCTCATTGTTCGACTTCCATTCTGTGGGCCCAATGAGTTAGACAGTTACTTCTGTGACATCACGCAGGTTATCCGGATTGCCTGTGCCAATACCTTCCCGGAGGAATTAGTGATGATTTTTAGCAGTGGTCTGATCTCTGTGGTATGTTTCATTGCTCTCTTAATGTCCTACGCCTTCCTCCTGGCCATGCTTAAGAAACATTCAGGCTCAGATGAGAGTACCAGCCGGGCCATGTCCACCTGCTATTCCCACATCACCATTGTGGTATTTATGTTTGGGCCATCCATCTACATTTATGCTCGCCCATTTGACTCTTTTTCCCTAGATAAAGTGGTGTCAGTGTTCCATACTGTGATATTCCCTTTACTTAATCCCATTATCTATACCTTGCGAAATAAGGAAGTAAAAACAGCCATGAGGAAGTTGGTCAACAGATATATTTTATGTAAAGAGAAGTGAATGTGGCATATTCTAGAATCTTTCTGAAGGTCATCGTCCTAAAGTAGGAAGCATTTGCAGTGGTAATAATACTGCTTTTCATCTGAGTTCTTAAATTCCTACCAGATTTTTTCCCTCAATTCACTGAAAAAACAAAGAAAATAAGATAAAAATAAGTTTACTCACACCCTCCATGAAACTTACAGCAGATCACCATTAGAAATTAAGATATAATGATGGTGTAGGGGCACCTGGGTGGCTCAGTTGGTTAAGCATCTGATTTTGGCTCAGGTCATGATCTCGCAATGTGTTTGAACCCCACGTCAGGTTCTGTGCTGACAGCTCAGAGCCTGGAACCTGCTCCAGGTTCTGTGTCTCCCACTCTCTCTGCCTCTTCCCTGCTCATGCTCTGTCTCTCTCTCTCAAAAGGAAATAAAGATTAAAACAAAATTTAAAAAAACATATAGTGATGATCTGCTAAACACATTTTCACTAATTTTTTATTGAATGAGTATTCTGAAGAGGCTTTGGCTGTGAGGAGAATGTTTGTTGAGAAATAATAAAATAAATAAGACCTGGGAGACATGTTGTCTATGAATATGAAGAAGTAAGTGGCTAGCATATGAATATGAGTAGCTTCAAGTGACCAAATTAAATATTGTTCCCATGGTTCAGTCCTAGCCCAGTGGGATGGTGTTTGGTAACCCACCTTCCTGGGACTAGAAAAACAGATTATTTGGTACTTTATCTTTTCCACTCCAAGAATTCATGATGGAAACTGAGGATTCATTTACACAAGCTGTTTTAAGTCATATTTCATGTGGCAACCACTCAACAGTATTGGTGACAGAACTCAAGATTTTGTCACAGCCTACAGCAATTTTTATGAATTCATAGCAGAGTTTGTTACTATGTGAGACTGTGAGACCCCTCTCTTTCCAGCGGAAGTCTCCAGCCAAGTAGTGCTTTTTATAGCCAGTCTCTACTTACATCCTCCAGTGTGAAAGCAGACTTGGAGGAAAGGGATTCTAGGCTGATTAGAATGAACAGACATCTAGCTGTGTGATTTTTAAAAGGTTATTATCTCCTTTGCCATTTTTGTGTGTTTTCTGTATTTGCTAATTCTTATTCTCATGTTAAATTAGTTTAGTAGGGTGCTGCTTTTGTTAGCCCTATAATTCAGAGTTCTTTCCCATTAACCCATTTTTTTTCATTAGTACATATGGAAGAGACCTAGATGTATTGGTTTTAATCATCTTTTAGTGATTTATTTATTAGAGATCAATTTACTATTGCTGACACTAAGAACCCAATTATTGACTGTGCTTCAGAATATAAAAGAATATTTGAGTTCATATAAATTTATTTACTTAAATTAACTTTTCAATTTCCAAACTAGGGCTCTCTCCATAAAAGAGCATATTATTTGTTGTGAGCTTTAGTCTTATATTTTCTTTGATAAAGTATATGACTGGCTTTAGGAATGAAAATAGATAAATGAACGATGAAAATGATGAAAGCCTCAGGTACACAGGATAGAATAATGGTGCAAAAAGTTCATTCTTTGCTGTGGGAAGTGTTCTCTACGATGACCCTCTTTCATGTTCAAAACTACAGGGACTTCTCTTCTAAGAACCCAAATATACTGATGGAATTTATGATTCCTGAATTTTAAGTTGACTTCTCATTGCCTGGAAATGAATAAAATAGTAGACTTCTCTAATATTTTACAACAGGGCATGAAGAAACCATCTAACACACAAAAGATATATACATACACAATAAAAAATAATTTATGTATCTAGATTTTATATTTCCTTACTGTTATTTCTCTCTATCTGAACCAGACAGACTTGTATTCATTTGGTCACTTATTCTTCATTTAGGTAGAATGAATGTTTTTTGGGAAAAGACTACTGACTCAATATGATCTTCAAACACTATTATACTGCTACTACTGAAGGATATTTGCTGAAAATATCGAAGCTAGGAATAAGAAGAAAAGATATCAAACTTAGCAGTGTAAAGAAAATATTAACAGTATCTCAATATTAATAAGATGGACTTTACTGTTACAGCTGGTAAAAACATCTCTATTATCCAAACAAAAATAAAGGTCTTCTGTTTTTTTAATTAATAGAATAGGTTCATTAAAAATTAAAAATATAAGAACTTGTAAGTAGAAAAACAAACATTACTGGCAGTCTTTTTTTCCCCAGGGATTGGGGTTTTTGTTTAACAAAGTTTGTGAAGTTTCACCCAACCAGCTCAATTGGAAGCAGGCCAGTTCGCCTGCCTGCATTGCTACAAAACACAATAAACTAACATTAAGTGAAGTTGAGGTGGAAAGAAGTCTTCAGACAAGTAAGTGTAAAACTCAGATTTTATACCTAGCAAAACTGGCATTTAATTTAAAAGGCTATGACTACCATCAGGTGTAAGCATTAAACAAAATTCTGGGAATGTGGTTTTCAAGAAATTCTTGAAGAAACTATCAGAATAAACTTCAATCAGTCATGAAGATCAAGGAGCTAGGACAGAAGTATGGGTACTGAATATTAAATATATTACACTATATCTAAGACTGAAACTAATGTGATTTGCATGATCAAACAGTATGAAATGCCACATGCCTTGTAATGCAGAAATGATAGAGCTGCATTCTATTTCCGTCTGTGGCACATTAGAAAGCTTTCCTGAACCTGTCACTAAAAATGAATACACACGATGGATAAACATTTTTTTGAAATCCTTTGATTAGCTAGCAAAAAAAAAATGACAGCATAGAATATTGAGAATCTGGAAATCAAATGAAATTGGGAACCCAGAGAAATAAATGGTGAATAAAAATCATCTTTTGTTGTGAAAACTTGTGTTCTGTTTTTAAGGCCAGAGTTTGTGTGGTAGGGACAGAGATGGACAGGAGACAAAGCCCTGGGCTCACACAAAGAAATATTCCACAACAAGCTGAGATCTCAAAGGATATATTCTCAGGGTAGTGGTGAAATAAAGTTTCAAAAAAACCACCACCCAAAATGCTAAAAAGAGAAAAAAGAATTATGAACTATAAGTGAGATCACACATATTTTTTGAGTTTGAGTTTATACTTGAGTAGTCTGAATCACTGCTAGTTGATAATTTTATTTACAGTTTCTGGTTCCAGAGTTGTAATGCCTCCTGATAGAAGGAAAGACAAATACCATATGGAGTATGCTGCCATTACCCCAAGACTTTTAAAGTATTCTACATATAAGAAATAAGAGTTTACAATCTGACATCATAAGCACACAAGAAAGCAAGGCTCTGTGAGTGAGAGACGGAAGAACAACAGAAAAGCAGAAAAAAAAACCCACTACAGAATATAAATTGAATATATTTAGTATTCTTTGAGAAATAGAAAAAGGGTTGGAAATATGAAAAAGGAGGACACTATAAAAACAAATAGGAAAATTATATGAAAAACAAAGAGAACTTAGATTCAGTTAAAAAACTCCATAGATGCATCTGAATGCAAATTAGACACATTCAGAGAAAAAATAGTAATCTAGAATATAGAGTTGAGTAAACTACCAGCATTGCAGGGCAGAAGCCAAATGGGATAAAAAGGATGAAAGAAAGGGTAAGAGACATTGAGAACTGAATAAAAGTTCAGAGTTTCCAGAGAAGAGGGTAGACAAAATGTGGCAGAGGCAATTTTGAAGAGACAATGTGAGACACATCATAAAATCCATAAAGACAACTGAGCAGATGTTGAAAGTATCTGAATAGAAAAGCAGGAATTACCCTCAAGGGAAAGGTAGTTAACAACAGACTGCTTTAACAGCAAAAATGTAAAATGATGAGTTATATTCAATGTTCAGAGACAAAATAATCATCAACTCTGTGAGAATAAAATAAAAACATCCTTAGGAAGAAAAAAAAAATTAAGAGGAATTTTGTAGGATACGCTTGAAATAAGGAAATGATCCCAGGTGGGAGATTTGAGATGACAGAAAAAGAATGGCAAGTATGTGGTAAATCTAAACAAACTTCTGTATTTAACTACCAACAGCAACAAACAAACTTCTGAAGTTTAGAAAAAGTAAGAACTAAAGTTTATGAAAATAACATTTACATAAGAGTTGTGTGATTGGAGTTAAATGTAGTAGTCTTTGTATTTTTCAGGAAGATGGTGAGGATACTGGTTTACTTTAACTCTGGGTGACTATCAGACTTAATAGGTTATGCCACAGAAAGAAAGATCATTGGTTTTACACATCAGAAGTTTACTTCTCACTTACATAAGGCCTGTTGCAGGTTTGGGTGACACTCCAGAACACTGAAAAAACAAGGTTAAAATGAGAAATAACAAATAAATTAGAAAGAATATAAAGTTAAATTAGTTAAAGTTCATGTATTATCCTAGAATTGTGCTATGCAATACATGGACTACATATGACTTTAAAAATTTTAACTAACAAAATTTAAAATTTCATTTCCTCAGCTTATAGCCACATTTCAAGTGCTCAATAGTCACATATGGCTGATGGCCACATCACTTTTCCAGGATTTGTCTTTATATCATATAATAAAATAATTTCTGGAATTTTTAATAATATCTATAGATCCATATTATCAGCAAAGATAAAACTAGTATAAACCTTTCTTTCCTCTTCTTCAACCCAGATTGTAGTGATGAAAAGTTTTATCATTCTTAATTTTACCTTTATTGCTTATACTTCAGTTATTTAATTACAGCTTTAATAATAGACTTTGACTTCTAGAATTGACATATGAAGCAATTAGTATAAACTCTCTTATTTTTAATCTCCTAAATAGGATTTTGTTATAGGACTTCTTTTTTTTTTTCTGATTTATGGAGTCTTATTATCTATTAAAGGATATGATGAGCATAGAAATTATAATAATATAAACCCAGGCACACCCTATCACCCTTTATAAGTAAAGGTATTAGCATTATCTTTGTGGTGTGCTATATGCCCTTTAGTCCCATTTTTTTCCCCTCTCTGGTCAGAAGGATAC